CTAAAATGGTAAAGTGCAAACTCGAACTTAGATAGAAAAGGAAGTGGTACCAGCTGATTGGTGGGAACGAGTTTTGTCTTAAAGTCATTTTAGAACTATAACAATGGAGCTTGACAGCGAATTGTTCAGTAGCAAGCTTGAGATGTACAGGCAAATAACGATGGCTTTCTCCTTTATGGAAAAGTACTGATATTTTTTTAAAACTTACTTTTGATGACTTTTTCTTCTATGTAAGCTATCGAGATATGGGAAGTTTAGCTTTCTTTCATCTTTTCATATAGTACTCAGTTTAAATAATAGAGTAGTCTATCTTCGTCTGGTGTACTACTGTCTTTAATCAGCAGCTATCTTAGTTTTTCTATAATTTTTTCGAGAAGAAAGTATCTTATACGACATCACTCTGAGATGATAGAAGCTGACGCATTTTTTTACAAGCCTCGAAACTCAGGGGTTCTAGTTATAAAAATGAGCTTGAACACACTTACCCACAAAAGTCTTTTTTTGACTACATATCTGCTTCGCATAAACATAGTGGAAAGATCAGATTAAGGGATTTTTACCCTAATTTTACAGCAATATAGCTAAAACTCGTTTCCATATTCTAAGCCGTGAACCGCGCAGTGTGCCAGCTCAAAAAAATGAGCGTATGTAGACCTTGGTCATCATGAATGCTCTCGGTGATGCAACGAAAATATCCAAGGAAAAGTACTTTCTGAAAATTAGAACTTTTGTCTAAGGCTACTCGACTATAACTAGAGCTAGTGTTAACCGGTTCAAGTTCGATAGTTTTTCTTACATTTCAATTATTATATACAATGAGATAAAGAATTTCAGATCTTCATCATATCAACCCATAAAAATATATTACAATTAAGTTATAGTTAACAATAAATGTAAATCAACTGAATATTAACGATTTTAAAACTTGTATAGTAAGCGAGCCATCCTTTCAGCTGTACCATGCTGGTTTCAACCAGCCTCCTTGACCAAAACTTAAAGGAAGAAAGTGTCAGAATTTCGCATTAAACAGTCATTTCATTCAGAAGAATTGGATCAACTGTTAACCTAGATAATTGAGATTTCCAAGAACGTTAGTTGCACAACAAAAATTCTTCTTACAAACAGCTTAGTTTAGAACGAAGTTTGAATTTTTCTGACCCAATTTATTTCAAAGGAAAATTGCTTCCTGAATCAATTCGTAAATTTAAGATGCCGATCACTCATTTTTCTTTTCCAGCAATGACCCTGATATGCAAACTCTGTGCTGTTTCTTAGTTCGGAATTTTAGAATCCAAGTGCAAATGAATTTTGATAAGCTTTGATGAAGTGAATTGTGAAATTGAAGGTACATAGTAATGACTTTCGTTGAATAAAAAACCTTGTATCACATTTCTACTTCTCAAATATCACAGCACTCCGAATGAGATGATATATTAAGCTGTACATACGGAAGTGTTAATTACGAAACTTTTCTCCCCAGTAATACAATTGAAGTTAAGTACAAACTTTTTTTCTGGAGTTTGAATTTGTATGCTTCGAAATGATTCTGATTCATAGCGAGGTATTCAAATTGAACGCAGTAAAGGATAGAATGTTTTCAGAGGGGAACGGAGATAAGATTTGTTGAAATGGGTATATGTTTAGTGGTTAGACATATGAGATTTCATACATATTCAGTTGTCCAACAGTAACATCTTTGTGCCGAAATTTGAATATAATAACTTTTATGACGTGACCTATGGCTCCACTGGTAGTCTACATTACTTACAGAGAACATCCTAGATAAGATTGTGCGTTAACCAGTCTTAAGGAATCAAGAGCTATGAAATGCCTTCTTACTTTCGTGCCATGAATTTTATGAAACCATCGTGTTTTCTCGTCGCTTTTTTAGATATTCCAATAGAACTGGAAATCTGTCTGGTCTTGGTTTTTGTACAATCAGCTCAATTTACCTTCTAATTTCAGAATCACCCGCGATGTCAGTGAGAAATATCAAGCGAGGGAAAATCTTCGAGCTTTACAGATGCTGGCTCCATTCCTAATTTTCCACTTCACCGCTTATTTAAGTTACTTTGCGTTGAGTATTATAATTCAGTCCATAAAACCAATTGTTGGAAAACTTCTTTTTCGAGTTATTTATTCGGCAACTTACGTAAGTGAAAAAGCTTGTTTCATTTTTTCAAAAATTTCGCTGGATTCTTGCAGTTTGTCTCCTACTACTGCATCCTTTCCCCTTTAGTCCTGTTGTATACCATGCGAAGGAAAACGCCTGGCGAAGAGAAAAAGGTCTTTACTAAAAACGAAGGACCTCAGTTAGATCACGATATCTACTTTCAAAATTATCGACAAATGTGGCATTAACAGCGATTAGTGCAATACCGTAATAATGAGCTAATGTCCTTGTGATTGTATATGAATAATAGAACATGAGTTTCTTACTTTGTAAGCCCTAGAGAGGATTTTTTTCTTCGTTTTGTACACATTGCAGAAGTTGTATTTATCCTAATTCATTTTTTTTGAAAAAAACATGTATTTGGAAAAGAGTTGGGAGTGGAAGCGGTACCACACAAGTGATAATTATCTCCGAATGCTGTATGTATCAAATTTGTTTTCAAATGCTCGTTTCCTCTTTTGCCATCATTTGGTATTTCTAAGACGCAAAAATTTAGCATAATTTATTATCTCTGTTTCGATATATACAAACACAAGTATGCAAATCAAATCTAATCCCTCTTCTCTTCTACCTTTTTCGTAGAGGTTTCCTCTTCAATTTTCTCTCCACTTTTCTCTTCTCCTTCGGTGTGTCTCTTACGAAAGAGACGGCTGCAACAGGAGAAGTCCGTGATGGAACAACATGGTACTGATCCAAACAGCATCGTTGGTTGAGGTGGCGGTGGGGCGCATCCGACGCATGGCGGATTAAAAACGATCTGTGGAGGTGGTGGGGCAGCCATGCATGGAGGCGACAAGCATGGAGGAGCAGGCGCTGGGGCAAAAA